TAGGCAATGGACACCCACCAAAATTGGAGTATATGCGAAACAAGTAGTGGAAACAATGTTTGAAAGATCTCTAAAAATTATGAGAATGAAAAAATTGCTGCACCTTTTTGTGATTTAGGCCTCCGGCGGAGACCTACCAGAGCCCTCAGGTCTCCGATTAGCGAACACTTTTTTGTTTCTCAAAATTGCTTTCCTTGTAACAAACACTTTTTGCGCATCTCTTAATTCAACTTTTAGCACAATAACCAGATCGGGGCACTTCCTTTCTTCATTACTAGGACCCTAGATCGTTTTACCTTAATAAAGAAATGCTTCAAGTAAACGGCATGCACTGCTTATCCCATGTGCTCGCTTTTGTACAGCTTGAAAAAATGGGTGTAATTTCCAAAATGTCAATTGGGTATTCGTTCTCGTAAAGTTCATTCGGAGATATCCGAGACCTGATTGAAACTGTATAGGGGGCTCCTGTATGGTAAACAGGCGATAACGGAAATGAATTAGAACAATAAATTACCTATGAATTTATTGGATTGGTGCGATGTAGCCAGGTACTAGCCTTGTACGATGATTTACAACTTTTTTACATCTTTATGTACAATCGAAGTACAAAATATACCATTATTAGATTACATTATCTATAACTCCTCGATTTCGATATTGTAACGAAGTTGTTTAGCCGAGAACCATGAATAGTAGTTGTCAAACTCGATAATGTCTAAATTGCAAAGTTAGAAGTAGAATTTAAAGCAAAATTGCTCAATGGTAAGTTAGCTTACAGTTTCCCGCTTTTTCCGCAACATAATGACCAGAGATGGGAACATTTGTGCATTCAAGGCGGATGTAAGGGAAGACAATCTCCATTTCGGTTAGATTATTTGCCTGAATAAATGCTTTCTACCGAGCGAAGACAAAGCTACAAAAGCCAAAAAGTTCTTTAGAGATACCTGGAAGGAAGGGTCGAAGTGAATTGCAAAGCCAATATCGTCATCATCTGTCATGTACTGCCAACTAGAAACAAAGCGAATACAAATGCTTTTTGAGGTGATTGAGTCAACATACCAAATTCGGC